CCACATGGGCTTAAGTCATTATAAATAGTTAGAATTTGACTATTCTATCTTTCACTCTCTTTCTCTCTCTATAAATGTTATATGGGCTTAAACTATTATAAATATGGATTTAGATCATCTTCGGATCAATTTGTGGAGATACTCTAGGTCGATGGATCTCATCCATTGATACAAATTCAATGGCCAAAATCTCTTTTCATTCCTCTTTTCCCCTCAACTCTTCTCTCTCTCCCTCACTTCGAAGCAAGGAAGAAAATATCGGTAATATCGGAAATATCGGTAGTCCGAAAACACGGAAATATCGATGGAAATATCGGGATAATATCGATATCGATAAAAATTACATGGAAACCACGGAAATTGTAAGAAAAACTTGGAAATTTTTAATGAAACTTTGTAGGATGTTTATTTAGTCAATTATCTATTAGTTTATCACAAAAAATTGGAAGGAAATGCATTGCATGATGGATTTAACTGATTTAAGTTGATTATATAGCGAGCTGGCAAACATTGTGAGTGTAGAAAATATGTAGTAATTAATGAAAGAAGTTTAAACACACCATAATCATTTATATATAATTAATTAGTACAATATTTGGAGGTTTTATTTAGGATATTAAAAAAAAAAAAGGGAAGTGAATAAAATGATGAAGAATAATGTGCCGAATTTGACACTTTAAATTTCTTACACATAAGCATGCATCTAGGCGTTGAAGTTCCAAATTATAGTATATCAATTAACGATTGAAAATCAATACATTGAATAAGACTAAACTTTAATTTGGATGCCGATTATGTTTTTTCAAGTTTATATAAAGTAAAAGAATTGAATTTTGGAAGCCAGGAGTGTGTCAATTGAATTTTGGTCGGCGTGAAAGGTATCAATCTCTTCGTCTCGTCGAGTAGTACAACTTTCCTTTTTGTTTCACTCAATTTCGTTGAGTATTGAAAAAGTTATACTCATTTGAATCTTACCCAGTTTCCGGCGACCTCAGTGGCTTTAGAGGCAATTTCCGGCCAAACCACAATGAGTCAGACGTCGTATGAGATTCCATTCTCTTCGTCTCGTCGAGGGCTACAACTTTCCTTTTTGTTTTACTCAATTTCGTTGCTTATTGAAAAAGTTATACTCATTTGAATCTTACCCAGTTTCCGGCGACATCAGTGGCTTTCGAGACAATTTCCGGCCAAACCACGGCGAGTTGGCCGGCGTTCAAGGTATCAATCTCTTCATCTCGTCGAGTAGTACAACTTTCCTTTTTGTTTCACTCAATTTCGTTGAGTATTGAAAAAGTTATACTCATTTGAATCTTACCCAGTTTCCGGCGACCTCAGTGACTTTCGAGGAATTTTCCGGCCAAACCACGACGATTAAGACGTCGTGTGAGGTACCATTCTCTTCTTCTCTTCGAGGGCTACAACTTTCGTTTTTGTCTTGCTTGATTTCGTTGAGTTTTGACAAAGTTATGGCTGTTTAAAGTGGGTGTAAATTTTCGACCGAAAATTCTGATTTTCTCTCCCATTGGGCGAGTCCCACATCGCCCATGTGAGGGCAGTGAGCAAGCAAATTTTCCTATAAAGCCCACATCCCCCCTGCTGAGGAAATCCAAGCTTGTTCGGCCTTTGGGCTATGATCAAGTGAAGTATGTGTTGAGTTTTATCAACATATTTAAGTATATTTTAGTACTATGTCGCGATATTATCGATAATATCGAAAATATTGCGATATTATCGATAATATCGCGATATTATTGATAATATTGCGATATTTTGACGAAAATCATTTGGATAGTTAAAAAAATTTTGAACCTCCAAAAAAATGATAATATCGGCGATATTTCGCCGATATTATCGATATTTTCTTCCTTGCTTCGAAGCTCTCAATCTCGAACCACTAAATCCTCAAATTCCAAATTACATTCAACCCCACCTCAAAATCAGCCCCAACACTGCCACAACCCACCCAACCCACAACCACCAATTGCAAGTCCTTCATCTTACCCTTTCCAAAATCAGCCCCACCACCACCACATCCCTCAGTTGCAAGTCCTTTGACCTTTAAATCTTAGCCGATGTTAATGAAACAACAAAGAGAGGGGTCGTGCAAACCAATATCTTTTGGTTGCAAAGATCTTTTTCATAACCATGGAAGAATTAGAGTGAGAGAAATCTCAAAGATGAAGAAGAAGAAAGAGATAACAAATAAAAAACTAAAACAGTAAGGGATAATGAAAAAATAAATCAGACTTAGAGCAAAGATGACCTGCAATTGAATTTGGGGTTTGTTAACAATGGTGGGGTGTGGGGGTACGAGGGAGAAATAGGAGTTGAGGGGGAAGAAAGGCGGGAGAAAAGGATTCGGCCGTTGGATTTCTATTCCTATAGAACTGATCTTGAGAGGATTTGAATCCAATAAATAGTTAGAATATGTATATTCTATCACTCTCTCTCGCCCTATGTTTACATGAAAGAGTCCACTCAAATTAAAAAAAAAAAAAAGGAACCAAGAAATGGACACTGCATTGCAATGTTCGAATCCAAATGTAAAAAATATAACCAGGAAACGGACACTGCATTACAGTGTCTAAATCTAAATGTAAAAAATAGAGCTAAGAAACGGACATTGCATTATAGCGTCTGAATCTAAATGTAAAATTAGGAGTCACATGAGGTGTGAAGTGTAGGAGATGTATGAGTGACGAAAAAAATAGAACTAGGAAACAGACACTACAACTCAGCGTTTGAATTCAAAAGTGAAAAACAGAACCAGGAAACGGACATTGCATTCCAGTGTCTAAATCCAAATGTACAAAGGAAACCAATAAATGAACATTGCAACTCAGTGTCTGAATCCAAATGTAAAAAATTGAATCAGGAAATAGACACTGTATTGCAGTGTCTGATTCGTATTGACTTATTCCAAATATAAAACTATAAGAAAGAGAGTGTTAATTGAAGTGGGTGCCAGCTGTAGTTGCAGATTTTGTAATTTTTTTTTAATTTTAAATGCATTGAAGTATCACAATCATGGTCTGAAATGCCGATATTATTGGCGATATTTCGCCGATAATATCGGTTTTGTGAGAGAGCGATATTTTAATACTTATCCACTAAATTTTCGTCAAAATATCGCGATATTTTAGGCTGGTGCGAATCGAAGAAGAACGCCGGAGCTTCTACAGCTTCGGCCGACTGTAAAAGAGCACCCTAAACTCCGATCTAGGTATCAAAATGAAATACAAGAGGAGAGGAATGTTTTTATAACTTCCGTTTGTTGTGAAATGGTCGGAGCTGACTCAGACCACCACCTCCACCAGAACCTTAAAGGGGAACTGCGGATTGGCGGCGACTCAGGATCTTCACCCATTAAGAAACATACCTAGAACTCCGAATCCTGAAACCGACGACAACGACGACAACGAAGACGAGTTGTCGGAGTTCCCATCTCCGCCCCGGCTCCATCCCTCGCTGTTTTTGTTTCAAAGAAAAAAAAGAAGGTAAAGCCTAGATCTGAGAGGAGTGAGAGAAAGGTAGGGATAGATGAACATATGATTTTGTTTGGCTGAGAAAGAGAGTGATGTGGGCAACAGAGAGAGAGAGAGACACGGGTGGATGATAGAAATTTGTGTGGTGTGGGTGCGTTTAGGGAAGAGAGAAGATGAGTGTGGATGTCGGCATAAGTCTTTGAGAAAGTAATAAAATACTAATATAATTGTGTTTTTTTTTATGGAAACTAATATAATTTTGTCTTTAAAACACCAAGGGGATTCGAACCCCTCCCATTTTACTCCTTCAACATCTTGACCACCATATCACTTATGTTTTTGTGAAAATATGCTAAAATACACTTACTCTACACATAAAGATGATGAAGATAGTGAAAGTTTTGAACCTCATAGGAACTCTATGTGGTACTAAGTCACTAATGTATCTTGCCATGCAATGTATAAAGTGTAAAATATTGTACTAATTCATTATATATAAATGATTATGGTGTGTTTAAACTTCTTTCATTAATTACTACATATTTTCTACACTCACAATGTTTGCCAACTCGCTATATAATCAACTTAAATCAGTTAAATCCATCATGCAATGCATTTGCTTCCAATTTTTTGTGATAAACTAATAGATAATTGACTAAATAAACATCCTGCAAAGTTTCAATAAAAATTTCCAAGTTTTTCTTACAATTTCCGTGGTTTTTATTCAATTTTTATCGATATCGATAATATCCTGATATTTCCATCGAAATTTCCGTGTTTTTGGACTACCGATATTTCCGATATCATCAATATTTTATACCTTGATCACAATACATGATTAACCTACTTATAATTAATATAAATATTGTTGATCTATTGTTAATATTGTAACTTTTTATTGATTTTTCATACAATCACAGAAAGTTGGTCTCTCTAGCATTTTCCTTATCATTAGATGTTGGTTGTACGCATAACTTGCTACATGAGATGATACATCAATGTGGTATATTTAAGTGGTTTCATAGCATATTAGTATTACTCAGTTTTCAGATATTTATTAGGTGTCAACGAAATTTCATTTTTGTTTACGTAATTATGAAAGACTTTTCAAGTTTCCTATTAATTTCATTTGAAGTGATTTAACTGTTTTTTTTATATTATGGATAAGTTATTAAACTTTTATATATTGTAATTTCAATTTTTTTTTCTTCAGAATTGGGTACAATAATTACATATGTTTAATATAATTATTATTTGAAGGTCAAATATAATCATGTGAATATATGTATTTAATACAATCATCATCAGGCCTTCAAAATGTTGATTGTATTAAATACATGTAAATATTGTAGCCAACACCTTATTTTCCACCATGCCTGGTCAAAGTTTCACATGAATTTGAAAACAATTGTTTTTTTTTTTTTCCAAAGGATAAATTTATTATTATTATAATTGAATAGAAAGTTTGATATCCTGTGCCAGGATATTAAACAGGAAATCAGGACCAATACAATCTCATACAAAATATCGCAAAGATCGCCTCTTCTTAAACACATACTTAGCCACCGAGTGTGCAACACGATTGCATTCTCTAGACACAAAGATGAACGTCACCGACCTCAACCTTCGCACTATAATCTCAATGTCACCAAGGATACATTCAAGACTGTAATCATGCATCAATTCCTTCCTAATCATTTGAATAATCACCTTTGCATCAGACTCAACAATCACATTGTCAAAGCCATTGTCACCACAAACCTCCAAAGCTTGCCGGATTGCTACAGCTTCCGCCGCTAATGCAGAGTGATAGTACATCTCTCTCGAGGCTCCCGCTGCCGGCAGCACGCCTGCGAAATCATGAGCAACCCATCCCACTCCCACGCGCAACGAATCCTTACACCAGGCCGCATCTGTATTGATCTTTATTGTCCTAAACCCCGGTTTCTGCCACTGATCAGTCTTTCCCAGATCCATAGTCGACGTCCTAATTTTTTGGCACACGCCCTTAGCTCCCTGTACCCTCGCATCTCTGAATTCAGAAATACTCATCCTCCATGCCTTCAAAACCTCTAAAGGTTGTCGATGAACATCGTTGAAAACCACCTCATTTCGATTTTTCCATAATCTTCATAAACCAAAGATGAACTCTTGCATGATCTCGCTTGCATTTTGGATTCCCCTTAACACGATTCCAGAATTTCTCCCAACTTTCTAAAAAATCAGCACCTTCCAAATCAAAAGATTTCAATTGGAGTGGAGAACAAAACCAGAATAGGTGGTTGAGTTCGCATCGAAAAATAGATGGTTTTCCGTCTCATCGATTCGGCTACACACCCCACATACGTTATCAACCCTCATATGTCTCCGCTGCAGATTTCGTCTTGCCGACAACGCATTATTGCCACACCGCCATATAAAGAATTTCATTTTATTTGGAACCTCCAGATTCCATATCCTATTCCACACCTGGTTGTTCTTCGGTGTCGAACTTAGCACACCCCTCATTTTCCTCCCTGTTGGAACCCATTGTCCCACATCGGCCAAGAGGGAAGAGAGAAAGCACTTTAAATAGAATTACCCCACTATAACTAACACCGAGGCCTTTTGTGATAAAACCCCACACTTGAGGATTGTGCAGGTGGTTAAGTGGGGACAGTATCGGTGTTGTTGGAGTGGACCCTCGGCCTGTCGACCTGAAAATTTCAACATGGTATCAGAGCCAGGGGGCGGGCCGGTATTGCCACGTGATTGGGTGGGTCCTCATTGGCCCCGCGCGATTGTCCACGTAGGCCAAAGATGCCACGTGTTTGGGTGGGTCCCCAATGACCCCGCGTGATTGGGTGAGTCCCGACATGGCTCCACGTGGTTGTCGATGTGTGGAATTTCACGTGTGACCCATAAATGAGGTCTCACGTGTGGGGGAGTGTTGGAACCCATTGTCCCACATCAGCCAAGAGGGAAGAGAGAAAGCACTTTAAATAGAATTACCCCACTCTAACTAACACCGAGGCCTTTTGTGATAAAACCCCACACCTGAGGATTGTGCAGGTGGTTAAGTGGGGACAGTATCGGTGTTGTTGGAGTGGACCCTCGACCCGTCAACCTGAAAATTTCAACACTCCCCAATATACCATTTTACATAAGCCCCAAAGCCACCCCATAGCCAGACTTGACCGTGTACACCCCATTTATAGTGTGGTGCCACACCAACCTATCCCGACAACCTGTTTTTCTTACCAGAATACTTAAAATTGGTGCCACGTCCTCCCGATTAAACCCCGCCAAAACCAAATTAGTATTCCAAGTCTTTAGGTTCGAGTCAATCAGATTACTCACCATTGTTGCTTGCAGGCCCTCCCACGGCCGAACTTTAAAGGTAGTTGGTTTAGGAAACCACGGATCCTCTCTGATGTTTATACAAGTTCCATCACCAACCCTTCATCGAATACCATTATCTAGCACCTTACGTTCTTCAACAACCACCCCCAAGACGTCTTCTGCCCACCACACGCCTCCCTAAAGGTCCTCCCTGGGAAATATTTATCTCTCAACACTTTAGTAAGAAGAGACTCAAGGTTGTGGATCAGTCGCCAGCCGATCTTTGACAGAAGTGCAAGGTTAAAACATTGTATATCTTTGAACCCCAATCCACCATATTGCTTCTGTTTCACTAAACAATCCTAAGCAACCCAATGAATTCCCTTCCATTGATTATTTCCCCTCCACCAGTAATTCCTAATAGCTTTTTCTATGTCTCTGCATACCCCAATAGGAAGCTTAAAGCATCTCATGGCATGAAGGCATAGCCATAGCCACTGCCTTTATAAGGATCTCCTTCCCTGCTTGTGATAGGAACCACTCAACCCATCCTGCCATTCGTGTCTCAATCATTTCCCACACTTTTCAAACACTGCTTTTTTTGAATGACCAAAATCTGCTTGGAGGCCTAAATACTTCCTAAAGCCCTCATTATTTTTCATATTCAAAATTTGTTCAATTTTCTTCTTATTTCGTTTCGTAGCCTTTGAACCAAAGAAAATCGAACTTTTTAGCATATTAATTTCCTGACCTGACCTAGCTGAATAAGCCTGCACAACATCCATCACACCATAGTTGATTAATTCCTGTATAAAACAAAATAAAATTATGCTAAGTGATGATGGATATGGATATGAGCAAGATCGAAGTAAAAATGATCTAATGATTTTATTTATTTATTTTTTTTGTTAAGAAATTATCTACATTAAATGAAGATGTGGGTTTAGCCTCATAATGGGTTAACAATAATGTAGTTCAAATTTGCTTTTAGCGAGAATTGAACTTAAGACATCTCAGTTTCAAGTGAAGATGAATAACACTAAACGTAGACACAAACAAACCCATCAACATTTGATATATTAAGGCCTAAGTGAAATTGTGGTCTCATTAAAACATGAAAATTCTGAAATTTCTAAGAAATCTTTTGTTTTTGTTAAAAACATGAAACTTCAAATCATACAAAAAGGTCAATATTTAAAATCTATAAAGAAAAAACCATCAGTGTATGTAGTTTTATTTATTAACTTCCAATTTTTTTTTTTTAGAGAATGGTACGATATTCATTAAACAAACGAATAATACATACAACCTAAAGATAGTGTGCATAATGGGCCTCAATAAAAACCTTGCCAGGGATTTCAACCCGGTCGAAGGGAAAAAGAATGTCCTGCACAACAATGTGACCTATCCTTAGCTAAGCAATAAAGAAATTACATTCCTTCCTCAACTAAAACATCTTCAAGTAAATCCGGAGGCTCCTCAAACCACATAATCTCTTGGGAATTCCCAATGCCCATACGAGCAAGGCGGTGAACTGCAAAGTTGCCCTCCCGTTGCACATGGGAAACCCGCGAATGAGTCATCCCTCTGAGGAAGACTTTAACATCATTTATTACAGGACCATAGGATGAGCAATCATCCCCTTGATTTTTCATTGCGGCCAGCACCAAACTCGAATCTCCTTCAAAAATAACCTTCTAGCCGATATGACAATTATTTTTAACCAATAAAATTGCATTTCGAAGAGCAATCAACTCAACATGGAATGCCGATTGTGTCATCTCAATAGGACTTGCAGAAGCAGCAAAAAATTCCCCTGAATGATTGCGAATTACCACCCCAAAACCCCCTCGTAGCTCATTTGGACTCCATGCCCTATCAAAATTACACTTAACCCACCCAATCTCTGGTTTCTGCCATTGCTGCACCTCTCGGCTAGCCTTCTTAGCAGCCTTCTTATGCCACTTTTGAAACTCATGCAGCCACCCTTCAACTCTTAGCACTACCTCTTGTGGTGGGATCAAAGAACCATTCTAAACCATGTCATTCCTTTGCTTCCAAATATCCCAAAGCAACATCAAGCACAACTCAAACACGGATGATGGAATCTGTAGAGATAATCAAGAGAGCCATTTCACTAAAGACAACCCATGATCCAGCTCCACCCTCAGGCCCAAACTTTGAAACCACACCGCCCTCGCCAAGCTACAATCTTGTAAAGCATGCTCAACAGACTCGACTAGCCCACCACAAACCACACACACATCTTCACTCATCATTCGCCGTTTGCACAGATACGAGCGTGTAGGTAACGTGTCTAAGCACGCACGCTAAGCACATATCTTAACCATTCCTGGGACACATGTGTCCCATAATTTCTTCCAAAACTTAACTCCCACACTACCAAAAGAGGAAGACGATGCTGCTGCATTTCCCCCGCTAGAAACATTAAGGGCCCGTGCTACATGGTAAACGCTCTACACCGTGAACTTGCCATTCCGCTCATAGTGCTAAATTCGACAATCCTCCACGTTCCTCAAGCTAAGAGAAAGGCTACGAATTAACTCCACTTCCTCCGACGAAAAGAGCTCACCCAACAATTGAACATCCCATTGCTTTGACTCATTCTAAAAGAGACCGCCCACCGTAGCATCAATATCCCAATGCATCGGAAAAGGGGTCAAAATCCAAAAGTAATGGTCTCTCGGCACCCAATTATCTTGCCAAATGCGTATACTCCTCCCATTCCCCACCTGCCATAGAGAAGCTTTCTGTATCACCTCCGTGAAGCGGCAATGCTTTTCCACACATAGGAGCTGTTGGTGTTAACCCGAGCTTCCAGAAATTACGTCGTAAGAAAGTATCGAACCTTGAAAACTCGAAAAGCAAGCGACTTAGGTTGATGCATGAAGCGCCAAGCTTGCTTTGCTAATAAAGCAAGGTTAAAAGGGTATAGAACTTTAAACCTAAGACCTCCCTCACTCTTAGGCTTACACAAACATCGCCAATTAAGCCAATGTATTTTCCGTTTGCCTAGATCACCACTCCACCATCTTTCACATACGCAAAAGTTTCATTTTTCGATTTCCTAATAAGGACCAGCAACCCTAGATATTTATCATGAAACTCCACCTTCCTCATGCCAAGGCAATCGGCAAGAAATTGCTTATCAACACTCGTGAGATTAGGGCTAAAGAAGACACAACTCTTCTCAAAATTCACTGCTTGCTCAGAGGCCTCCTCATTCGTACATAACACCTGCTTGATTTTTTGACACTTATCAAGGGTACCACAAGCAAACAGAAAACTGTCATTAGCAAAGAAAAGATGATGAATACTAGGATCATTACGACATACTTTAATTCCCTGCAACTCCCCTTCGGTTTCAGCCTTTGAGAGCAATGCCGAGAGATAAGGATGACAATGGTTTAGTTTGGGGACGGAAATGCTATATCCATTCCCATAACCACGAAAATTAACCATATCCATAACTGCAAATTAACCATCGGGGATTATACATAACCATATCCACCGGGTAATGGGTTTTCAATCGGTTATCGGTTATATCCATCTTCGTCAAAAAACAAAAAACAAATTATATTCATCCAATTGACGCATTATAAATTTTAGTAGATACTAATTCCGTCATTAAATAG